ATATTCACAGCCTTCTCGCTCTACTGAGATCAAGGGAAGCCCAAAATCTTACTATTATTTTAAATATGGTGTTCAAAACTAAAATACAAATAATATTTTCGTTGTTACCCCTTTTAATTTCGTATTATTGTTTTTCTCGCTATATTGCATTGTTAAGTCACTACTCAGGGATTCGCGCCGTGCGAGCGGTCCTCCTATAAGGGCTAGCGTACAAGCGGTCGACATAAGCCTAAAGTTTCTGTGCGTGCGGCCAGCAGATGAAGCGCCGTCCTAGCGGCAGGCAATGTTACCGTGCAAACGACCGGCAATACATTTGTTCGAGCGAGCGGCCAGCAATGTGTCCGTTTTATCGGTCGGTAATACCTGTTGCCGTGCAAGCGGCCATCAATGACCTCACTCTTTTGCTCACTATTTTCACACATTGTGAGCGTGAAAGGTACCTGCGTGAGATACGACGCAGCGTTTAGGCTGGCTAAGCACTGACATATAGTGTTATCAACGCTTTCCTTCACCAGCAAAGCTGCAAGGAACCTGTGTGAGGCTACAGCCCCCAAGAACGATGGTGTGGGCTTCCCCATGAAAAATCTGGGCAATGCCGCAGGCACTGGTCCATGTTCCCACAATGTGAGAAGGACCAACATATCCAAGAAAAATGGTCAAGATATAGGCACTGGTCCATGTTCCCACAATGTGAGAAGGACCAACATATCCAAGAAAAATGGTCAAGATATACCATATGAATCTACTCCAACAGCAAGCGAGCGGCCGACCTTCCCCGCGCAAGCGGCGAGCATTAGAAACCCTGCGGGCGCCCCACTTTGACCGTGCCGACGGCCCTCGACGACCGTACAATCGCACACACCAACGAGCGATTGTAAGGTCGTAGCTGGCCGCCCGCACGGCGCGAGTCCCTGAGTACAAAAATTCTTTCTTTATTTCCTTTTCTTCTTAACTTTAGACAGAGGAAATATCTCTTAGTATCTCATATAGTAGTTTTTGAAAATCTAGAAGATTTGGTAGGCTCAAGTAAGTTTTGAACTTTTCTATTATGTTCGAAACATCTTTGAACGTTATCCGTTCTCTAGGGATAATCTCGTTGATTTCGCCCACCAAGATCCGTCTAAAACTTACCTTTTCAAATATCGATTAGATTGCTCCGCAAAAATCATTGAATCCGGTTTTGTAGTTTTTGAAAATTTGCTCTGCAAAGTGTATTCTGCTGTCTACTTTAAGTGTGTGTAACAAGAAAAAACTTTCAGCGTGCTTGGTAGTAAAAAGCATATTTTTTACTGCGCTCATCTGATCGCTGCCGGGTAGTTCACTACTACCTCCTTCGTCTTTGTACGATTTTGGCTGCATCATAATCATGCGACGAAATGAATTCAAATTTTAGTCACGGAACTCGTTGGTGAATGGAGCTTTTGCTGGCAAGCAAAAAGTATTCTCATCCAATTCAGATGGGAAGAGGTTCTCTGAGTGCCGTTCAGAATCTTTCCGGGTCCTTCCTCTTGATAGCAGGTCGTATATTCCTTTGAGCCGCTCTATCATAGTTATGCAAGAACATGCTGCTCATTGGATATCTTTAGATTTTTTGAGACCTTTTGCTGATTTCTTAACATTCTTAGCAGTTTCTAAGTGAGCATTATTTGCAAAAGAAGTGAAGTTCTTTTGATACTCGACTAGCTCACTTGAATCATCATGAATAGTGATGGTATTGCACGGTTCTCAAGCTGACCAGAAATACTCGAGTTTTTGCAAGTTTGTATAAAAATACTTGAATTTTTTTTTGGAGAAACGAAGCTATGAAAAGTCAATGGAAATGAAGAGGTATGGCCATGGTGCCTATTCAGTGCAAACTAATGCAAAAGAGTTGATGCTGTGAATTTTGTGTTTTTATATTTTGTTGGTGACATGTAGGTATCGCACCAAAGTATAACTTGCCGCTTAACAATCTTCAATTTCAAGACCACGTTCATGATAATGAAAGGAAGGAAACATACGCTTTCTGGTAGCGCTCAGACCAGATCTTCGTTTTCTTATGGCGGCAATATGTAGCTAGTGAAGAAAATTATTCAGTATCATTTTTCAAGAATTCTGTCACTATCAATAAGTGAAGTTGAGGCCGAAGTTTTTTGGTCTTGAACTCATCTTACCTTTTCTAATTGAAGAAAATCGTGGTGAGGATAGCTTTACGGATAATTGAAATTAGAGATTTTCTAGTCGGCTTTTGATTCACATTAGTCTTTAAATATGTAGTACAAAGTTATTATTATTCATCAAGCGTAACAACGTGTATTGTTAGACTTATTACTTCTTCCGAGTATCTCTGAACAGAATTTTTCATTTTTTGTATGTCTAGTAGGAAGAAGGGCAGTGGCATTGAATCAAATCAATTTTCACCATTTTTCACAGAAATGTGAAACATATCGCCGAATTGAGGCCGAAACGTCTCTAATTGAAGTATATATCTCAAGGAACCCATCCCTTATGATTTACATAACAGATTCGTTTACCCCTGCCAGTGTCCATCTTCGGCTCATTGTTTTCGCGTGAGTTGTCGGGATCTGGTCGAACTCAATTTTGCACGACACCATTTGTCTTCGGGCGCTGTCGTCTGCACATCGCCAGTCACCTCACGTCCATTTCGGCCCTATAGAACAGCCTCCATTCATTGCAAGCGCAGGTTCGACGACACGTGTCTTCGCCCTCGCGTTTGTTCAGATGCGCATTGGCATTCCGCGCACGCGTCACTTCCTTTTCTCTCTGGATTTTTGGTTCACAAAAATTTAGCTGCATTTGCATTCTTGGCTGCGGTTAGCTGCTTCTATATTCTGCTCGAATTCTTAGTAAAACAGTAATGAGAATAACTAATACATTATCTTCTGACCTCATCAAAAAAGGGGATCTTTGTGTAAAAAAGAATCAAAGAGTTCTTGAACCTCGCTCCTTTACTAGGGTTGGAATGGTGTACACATTAGTGACTTATAGGCTCCGAAATTCCCCGAAAGCAATTGTGACCTAGTTTAGAAAGATTTATTATATCATCAGCATTAAGTGCACTTGTGTTTAGAATTCTCATGTTGATATATTCCAGTTTGCTGAGTACTTTGTAAAACCCTACTTTTCGAACACTTTTCTCCATCAAACTTTCTTTTTCGATACAGATTCCGCGCAATATTAGAAGGCTTTGTTCATGTACTTTTTGACGATGGAAGAATTAAGCTTTATATCTCATCTGTGAGAATTTTACCAACATTTTGCACATGCGCACTCAAAATCGGAATTTAACTGCTTTAACTTTCTAGGCCACGATTCAGACGAATAGACGGATTTTTGTGAAAACATAGGTGCTGCATGAAATAAATATTGTTCATTTATTGCACATTTAAATAAATGTTTTGAATATATCTGGATTGACAAATCGATGCCTCAAAAAAGATATTCGCTGCCTGGCATTATATGGGTTGAAAATTTTCTGATCAAGGCAATCACCGAAGCCTCGCTCATTTCTCTATGCTTGAGGTCAAAACATCTCTACAATTTTTGCAGAAAACTTAGCTATACATTTGTGAATTTCAAAGTCTCATAGTTTGGGACTTTATGGTCTACCACAAATAGGCTTAAAAAAGTGAACAGTTTTGGATGTTTATCTTTTCTTCTTCCAGGATTCCTCGATGAAGTCTACAAAGGTATACTACTGGCTTGCGTCTACAAAATAAGCTAGCAACCATAGAAACAAAACTCGAAGGGAGTTGTAATCTCTCAAAGACGAGGTTTTCGAGAGAAAAACTTTCAGTTTTTTGAAGCAAAGTTTTATTCCTATTTGCGTTATCAGTATAAGTAAGTGCGCTTAGGTTAGGAAGGTTTGCTTCTTCTGATGGTCCTGATTGCATTCAAAAATATGAAGATTGGACAATGTTGTAGCTTCCCAAAGTAGAACTTTGCAAAACGGACATTGCAACAACCTAATAGCTCTATTTAAAAGGTGTAGGCTGATTTGTTAACTTGAGGCATAATTTATTTTCTTAGCTCTTAATGATAAAAGACTAGTGAGAGTGCTTCTTAAGTTATTCTCGTAGCTTTTTAGATAAACTATCAGTTAGAATTTGCAAGTGCATCTCAAACTTAAAACAAGTGGCTGGGTTCTATACCCCAAAAATAGGTATCAGGCATGATGGGGTTTTTGTAAAAATTCGATACATCCCAATCTTCTTCGTTTCACAATGAAATCCAGTGGGACTAGGCAAAAATGATTGCTTCATCTTGAAAATCCGATGGACTTGCAGCTTGCAGCAAGCTTTCATTCTGAAAGGTAAATAATATCATATTTGAAATGGCGTGTCTGCTCCATGAGTGAGAGAAACCTTAGCAGCATACATATTTGCATCTATAAAGCTAAGTTTGTTATTTGCTTGCACATAATCTCCGTTTGAAATGTTGGAAAAATGTAACCAGGTTTATCGGCCGAATAAATATAATACATCTTTCTCAATAAATACGCAAGTTATTGCTATTATCTACGCTTCAGATCGCAACTCTAAGTTGTAACTTGAAGCTACCCACTGTTATGTAGTTCACAAATCTGCAGAATCAACACGTTTTCTAAAAAAAACTCTTTTCCGCCCTTCTAGTATAAGAGAAGAGAAACCCGTTCGGACTCAGGTTGATAAATCTCAAATCACGCATTACTTGAGCTATTTTTGGAAGACGACTGGGAAAATTGCTCCGAAAAGATGGTCAAGATTAACTAGTTTTGGTGGAGCATATTTCACACATACATCGTTGAGAATAAATTCAAGATTTATGCTGGTGCTGGAGAAATGCATAAGAGCTCAAGCGTGTGAAGTGATCCTTCTGCGCTTTGGATCGAATATTTCCAACGTTGAAAAGTGCTAATTTTCCGCTTACTTTCTCCTGCCTTTACTATTTCTGTCTTCCAGTTCTCATTTCTTGTGCTCTTATTGCATTTGGTCCTAGTGTCAGAACATTTCACTTCTTATAGGTATGACCAAATTGGGCAAAAAGACGAAATCGAAAGGGTCGGTCGAGGAAACTCCGGTTGATTGGTCATCGCAGTTGAATCTCCTCAGAGTGGCAATCATCATCTTAGCCGGTGAGTTTTTTGTCCCTACAAAAAACCACCAAAATCTATTGAAACTCACTCCGCAACAGCCTTGCTCTAATGGATTTTTGGAGTTTTTGCGTCGATGCCTCTAGATTTGCAGCGCTGACAAGGGCAATTCAACATTTATGTACAACACATCAACCGGGGATTACGTAACAACATCGGCTTATCAGCGCCAACCTGAGTGAAGAAGCAAACAAAATATGATGAAAGAGTCTCTATACACGCGAATCACTTCAATAACGGTACTCGTATCGGTCTTTGATTGGATTGAAACATCGCGCGAACGTGTCGTTCATGCGCTGAAAGAATCGGCGGATTTCCTGCAAAAAAGATTATTTGAGATCTTATAACTGTAAGTTCCTGGAACGTAAATATCATGCAAATTTTTGAGTTTTGGAAGAAACATGTTTACTGTAGGCTAATCAAACATTGAACATTGAACACATTGGACGCGTCCCACTTTTATCAGTAGAGAATAAACGAGGTTGAAAAAGCCTTGAGAACATCTTTAAAAAGGAGATTTTTACGATGCTGCTTTGAGGCACCGTCCACCCTAATGGAGGGTGATGAGATTTTAATGTTATATATTATAATATCGGGGTCCCTAACTAAGCAATTGCCCAAGTCCCGCTGGAAAAGATGAATTTTAAAGCGAGAAAATCGCTCCAGACGTAGAAGCGGCCGCGCTGGCTCCCCCATCAACGCGGGTGGTGTAAAGATACATCCGAAAATTGGGTTTCAGGTTAGACGGAAAGGTCGCGAATTCGATTACCATGATGAAGGAGGGTTCTAATATAGCAAATGTGAAGACATTGAGATTCGAGTCTGGATTTGTTATCTCCAGACCACCCCTTTAACCACCCCCAATTTGGGTGAAGGGTGCCTTTAAGTCATAAAATATCTTGAGTTCTACATATTTTGTAGCGGTCTCAGGATTGTCAAAATTCTTGAATCTATAAGATCGTTGTCAAAAGTTTTCAGTGTATTTTCGATTGACTTAAGGTGATAATCAGCACCTAGTTTCAATTGGTACAAGAATTTCCCTAGCAGAGGTGTTTAAGTTTAGGCCGGTCTCGACTGAATGAAAAAAGAAATGGAAGAGGGATTTTTTCCTCCTTCTTTCTTGTTAATGAATTATTCAAAATTGTTGAGTCATGACAGTGATTCTTGAAAAAAAAAAGGATAAAGGATTCGACGTCTTCAATACCCTCTGCGTGCATGCACCGAACGCACACTACTTCATAGTCGAAGAGACAATTGTACGCGTGCGGGCCTATTACAGTGATTTGCGGGGGCCAGCCCATCCTCCCAGATTACTTTAGTACCAATTTACCGGCCCCGGAGGGTAGAGGGCTTGGTTGGCCCAGGGGCGGGGATCGAACTAGTGTTCGATCTGGTCATAGCGGCGCCTCATACCACTACGCCACTCGTCCCCACGGTGATTCTCATTAACTAAAATTATTGTCAATTACACGTGATTTGACTCGGCATAATTCTCAACTGTTTTGAAGTAGTTGGCGCTCGGATATTATTTGTTTTTTTCTTACAATAATTGTTTATAGCTGAATAATAAAGAACTTACTTCCTGATCTGCCTGACTTCTACTTTCTATCATTGCTCGATAGTAGTCCTTTATAGAATTCAAAAGATCATAGGTCCGAAGTCGCTCAAGGGCTCTGAAAAAGTCATCGTTCGAATTGCCACTTCGTGGTAAAGCATGCATTGGGTAAACGCAGTAAAATTACAATAAAAAATCTATCTATAGATGTTTGAACTTGGGGAAAAATCAAATTTTTTGGGAGCGGAAGGGCAAACAACTGTAGATTTTGGGCAGTCATTGCTAGGCTTCGTGAAGCCCTTCGCACATAAGTCACTTACATTTTTAATGCAAGAATTTTTTTATGCACAAAATTGAGTAGTATAAAATTTTTCTTTAATCGTTGACTTCATAAGGATGTACCTTTCTTCGGTGTCTGTTTTATCTGCAATGATATCCAGCAATGGCTGAGGAGGGACATTAGCACTTTTCCATAACTCGTATTCTACCCGTGCTGATTGAGGCTGATTTATCAACTGGAATTTTGGTCTACATTGCTCGAAAATCGTAGAACATCTACCTGAGTTTCTGAACTCTACCTCTTCTGTGATAATATTCTCCACCGTGGCTACATCTTCGGTCTCGGCAGCTCTGTCAAGTTCCACTCTGGCCTCGAGTGGAAGCTTTTCGATTATGCGACGCATGCATCTTGGCTCATCGGCATTGCATTCTAATTCGTTTCTTTGAGTAGTTTCAAGGAGGAAATTAGTAAACGACCGTACCTATGAGCTCCTGCTTGCCAGTGATCCATGCTCTTATGGCTGCCCATAACTTTGCCCAAAAAGACATGCGAAAGTGTTCATTTAATCGTCTGATTCAAAGCTATATTGTGTTTGTACGCAAATACAGTGCATGATTCAAGGGAACGTACCGTTCGGCAAAATATTCTAATATTGCTAGCTGGTCAATTGGCGGAAGAAGGGGGTTAAGTTGTGAGCTCCATACACCCCGTATCGCATTATATATGGAGGCATTCTGAAAATAACAAACAATCAACTGTTATGACGCTTACCCCTGCAAACTTTACAGCCCTAACAGTGATCAGCCAAAGTTGCTAAAAACCGTTTTCTAGCTTTCTATGAGGAACTGCAATTTGACACTCAATGCTGGTTCAAAGAGGTTATCGTTGTTTCTAACAAACTTCTGGTCAATTGATATTCCAAAAGGGGCATTGTGATAGAATTTACTACTATGAAAAACGTTCAAAACTCACATGATAAGCTTCGATCAGACTAGCATACTTTTGATTGTCGACGACAGAGATAAACTCGGACAAATCGGTGTTGTTTGCCTCCAGTTCGCTAATCAACTCTGTGATGTCGCTCTCCTGAAGTTATTTCTGTACTATACAAACAGATCGTTCATTTTTTACTGCCATGAAGTTTGTTGAATTTTACACCGCTGTATGAAACTAAATATTTACTCGAGTGCTCAAGCTTGCACCAGCACTATTTGTCATGCGAACTAACTTACTGAGAAAAAAGTGCAGCTTGAAATGTTGGTGAAAAAAAAACAAAGAAGCGAACAGAAAAATAAATAAGTTTGATAAAATAGTTCGAATGATATTGTGGTTTTGCCATTTGGATAAAGAGGTTTTTTCATACGGATAAGTACTAGCGTTTCGCGCCTGACCAAGGGTCACATCCAACATAATAGACTTTGAAGTGTATCACCATAATTTGAGATTTGGAGTGTTTTTCATGTCATGCGCTTCACCTCAAATGTGCAATAACTCAAAAAGTTTACAAATACTAGAGCTAATCATCTTGTCGTCAACATAGTGATTCTGCGGTGTCAACATCATTTGCGCGTGATGAACGGCCATGAAGAACACAATATCCGGTTTGGCGCTTCACGAATATTTTTTGCACATAGTTTGATAATGTTCGAACGTTTGGCCCTATAAAATCACGAGAGTGAATCTAAGTATACTGTAGCGCTGGCAACGATCCAAAACTCCGCCTGTTTGTATAGCCAGACGCCGAGACTAGATGTGCGCATCAAGCTCCTTGGCCCATTTTATCTTCCGCAGGGCATCTGGACGGTTAATTTGAGGCTCAATCGTCACCTCTCCCAACAAAAATTAGACTTTGATGGAAACTTCATAAGAATAATGAGCAATTGTTCACATGATGGAATGATAGGGCTGAGCATGTGAGACGGCTAATTTGGTGCGCATGCGGTGTCGGCAACATTTGCGCGTTGAAAATGGTTTCGTGGAGCAAAACTGCAAAAATTGCGCTCTATATCCGTCTTTCAACGCTCAGTTGTCTGCACCGTGAGGGCACTCGTTGACCCTCACTTCTCTTAGAGTTTATTTCATGAATAGGTACAGTACAGACTCGAGTGAAAATCTTACCTTCTGCTTTTCATCTATCATCCTCTTCAGCTCCGCATATGTACGTTGCTTCATATACTTCTCCAAACTTTCGGTTTCATTCTGGGGAAGTGAGATCAGCATTAGAAGCAACGGAAAGTAGTTTTCGAATAGTTTGTACTCGTATTCAACATCCGTGTTGTTGAATAAGGGGTCTGATAGAATGCTAGAAATATTCTGCGAGAGCATCTCGTAGTCCAGGACTTCTAATGTAGGAGATGACATCAATAAGCAGGGCAGTAGGAAGAGCTTCAACTGGGACAACATCTGCAAAATTATTTTTGTTGTTTGAAAAATTTGAGATATAAGCATCAACGTAATAGTTTTGCGATGAAGAACTCCTACTGAGGAGCGAAAGCAACGCTATAGAATCAGTACAAATCGAGGAGAAACCTGCAAACGATTAGCGATTAGCCGAGCGAATCCTATCATATAAAAAACTAGTATAATTGAGTGACTGATGTTTACGGGAGTGCTTTTATGACTGTTGACTGTCTCAATTTGTGAGCGAAAGTAAGCACCACGAGAATTTCAATTGTAAACCTATGGAAAACGAGATAAGAAAAATCACCTGTGATACTTTTGGAGTCTGTTCTATTGTAAACGTTGTACTGCGACGCTTTTCGATCAGATACAACGTTTCGACTTTTTTCAGAACTTTAGTACTCAAGCGCAACTTACGCTCAAAGGTCTACAACTTCGTTAATAAAGCATTAAGCATTGTCTCCATCAGTAGCTTTGATAGTAGATCATTTCAAAACTCAGTCTTAGTCGTGAACGTGACTTTCTGCGCAAAAATCAGGAGGGCTTGAATACAAATTGAAATTACGGAGATCTATCGGAAATATGATAGTCAATCAAATGCATGGGAGTTAGTATCTTTACAAGCCGATCACACCACTTCGATCTAGCGTAAATATCGATAATCTCCACGATCAAAGTCACCCATACAGTCAATCTTTTGACTATAAGCGCTAAGGTCAGAAAATGGTCAGAGAGCACTGTCGCGACAGATACGCAGACGCGTTGCGGGCGCGAGCGGTTGCCTTCCAGCTGCCAATCTCGTTGGAACAAGGGTATTTGTCACCCACTAAACACTTTTAAGATCAATGAATGCCTCATGTTGAAAGCTAACACTCAAAGCCATGATCCCGTTCTAGGAGAGAAGGACAAGCGGAAGAATCAGAAACCTCTTGGGATTTCCAGGAGTTTATGGGAAGTTTTACACTGTTTTTTGAGAGCCTAAAACATAACTGTAGATAATAACTTCCCGGTACGCGTGAAAGAAATTATCATAAGTAACACATGTGAAGTCTAACAATTGTTTTTCATCTGTGTAATCTGATCGAACATTCACAATGAGTATGCAAACGTGCGCATAATCTGAACGTATACTTTTTGAAACTCCTCAAAAACTGACTCGCTAATACGTTTGGCCACATGTGCAAATGGAAAAAACGAAAGCCATTCCATATGCGGGAATTATGAAGACCAATCACAAAAACTTTCCGAGATCTTAGTTCAGATAGTCCAGAAAATTCATTGAAGCAGTGTTTCGTTGCTATCATAACTATGCTTGAATGGCTCTAATTTATACATAATGATGCTAAGAGACATTGAAACTACTACTTGATATTGTAGAAAATTAGAGTTTTCTTCAAACAAAATACAACTTTTTGAGCCAACTTCCTTCACTCATGTAAAGCAATGCGAAGTGAAACATCATAGGTCCTGGCATTTTTGTACGAGAGTGAAGGTAAAGATTCTAGGATACGGAGGCATTAACTTCCCACGCTCACAACACAATGAAATGCTTTACCTTTCACATTGAAAATTGTATGATGGGGGAGGGAGGACAGAGGATTTATGAACACTCGCGGTACATTTTGCTTGTTCTACAAGATTAGTGTCAAGGTAAATGAGAATGACAAGTGTGGCGATAATTTTGATAACATGGAGTCTTCTTCTCTTCTACCCAATAAAAATCCCTTACTCATAATATGTAGAAACTTACACTTAAAATGAAAGTTTTGTTGTTAATATTTTCTTTAGTAAGCAAAAAACATTACATTGAGCTGCAGCAAGCTTGCCAAGTTCTGTCGATTTGCATTTTCTTTGAATATTATACATTTTCTGTGAATTAAGCTTAATTGGCTATCGGAAAGATACTAAGACTACCGAAAACTCTTTGAAAAATCAGCAAAAGTTTTTAAATGTTGTTCTTGAAGCTTGTCTTTTGACCGCTGCTTTTTCATAAGAACTGAGGGCATATGAATATCCGCTGCTAGATAGGAAAGACTGATTATTATATGACTATAAGGAGCCCATAGGGTCTTTGATAGCGTGAGATTTTTTGACCAAATAAAATACAAACCCCTTTTTGACCTCTCTTCAGTATATGCGTATACCTATTTACATATTATACATTTTTTTACACCTGCCGCTGATGGTTGGTAATTGATGGATGGGCCCTGATATGTAGCCTAGCTTTACTTTAGCTATAAAGTTGGGCTCATCGATTATGTCTACTCACAGAGAGTTATTGCTAAAACATCTATCTAAATAATTAAGTTTCAAGAACAATTTCCGCAAGCAAGACGAAATTTGGTAGAAATGAATTTGTATGCGCCCGTTACACCCATATTCCATGAGCAAGGGATTGAGTTGGAGGGGGCATTGCGGAGATGTTTTTGCAAGAAACATAATTTTTAGGTGGGACCATATTTCGGCCGCCTAATCTCAAGCCTGCATTGTTGTGAGACTGTGGATTTTGTTGGAATTTGCCATGTATGGAAAAGAACAAGTAAAGCGCTCTCAAATGGTACAAATATCACCGCACTGAACGCGGGATTCATTTAGAACGGCTACCTTGGATACAAGGCAACAGAAAACGAACAAAACTTATGCAGCAAGCTGATAGTACTTTATGTTCGCTACAGGGTAAAGGATTTTATTAGAATTACCGTGAGCTTATTTGAGGCTGTCTGCTACTTTGGAACACCTTTCTTGGAAATGCGTTGACTTTTGCGATTAACTGTCTCGCATCTATAATTAGCTGAGAGTAGGGTAATCGTTGAAGCTCTTTTTTTCGAAAACATAGCAGAAGACTGAACAAAGGATACAAATTATTTTTTTTCGAGATCAGTATGGCTCGTTATTCATTAGAGAACCTCAAGCACCACACCTAAAAGCTCAACTATGCAGTAGATGCTTTTCTCAAGTGCTCAAATCTTGATCTTGCATGGGATAGTAAACATTGAAACTGTGAAATGCTTGAGAGTGGCAAGGTAGTAGTTCAATCCGAATATGTCGCACCTCCAATCAAATATACAATACTTCTTTGATAGTTAGAGATTTACGAGTTGGATTAAGGTTATATAACGTATACTTTGCCACCTGTGTTTTTGAACCTCCTCAAGGAAAGGCTTTTTCTACTGAGCAGGAATTGAGCATTGAATAATTCATGGAAAGTTCTGGCAAACATGCGCTAGGCATCTGTGCCGATTACAATCGTCAAAAAACATCTACTGCTTTTTTGTTCGAAAATTTTTTTTTGTCTGAAGAAAAGTAAGGAACCTAGAGCGGAGGGTGGCGTAAAAAGAAAGAAACTCACACCATTGTCCAAAAAAATTGTAAATTTTGGTGCAGTGACTTGCCTTCTAAACTGTTGAACTGTAAACGCTGTCTAGCATCCGCTTCGAAGTCCATTTTTTCAATAGCAAAAAAAGTTTTTTTTTCAAACGCGTCTAGAAGTTGCGAAATAAAAGTGAGGTCGTGTAAGCGACTCCACTTGAGAATTTGTCAATAGTAGCGAGTGCCAAGCTGAAGTTACTACGCTGGAGGAATAGTCCGAAACTCATAATATAACCTCAGGAAACTTTGTGAACAGTGAGCTGTAAGAGGTTACAGCTAGTGCACTGTGACGGATGAAGTCGATAGCGTAGTGGCGAGTTGCTATAGTAATCACTTTATAGACGTAGGTAGGCATTTTTCTTCGCCAAAGCGAGCACAGGTACGAATTTGTGACTGCATTGTGCGCTTGGGCAAGAAAAAAATCTAATAACAATATTACTAGAGCTTTCCCTTTTTTTCGCTTGCGATCCTGTCGCTCTTACCCCCTTTGTTGACAGTTGCTCGTGTGCCGATGTGTGCATTCGCAGTATTTACATTATAACCACTTTATTCAAACGAGTTTCATGCCCGCGCTGTGAGGCTGCAGAAGAGCGTCACGCCGAGGGTTTGTGTCCGCATAAGGTATTGTGAACTTGAATATGCAGAAAGTTCAAGGTATGAAATCTTTTGGAGATAGAGCGAAAGCAAAAAATTTTGCCAAAAAAATGCTTTGAGTGCTTCTTGTTTTTTCTGTTAGACGTAAACGTGCACAAATACGTTCCCAGAACATTACTTGAGGCCCGGTGTCGAGCAGGCGAAGGTGATTCTATAGAAAAGTTAGAAAGGGTAGCATTATGCCCCTTCAAATCTTTGCAAATTTACTCTCAAGTAATTCCCGTAGCTTCTGATTATTCCGAGTTTTTATGCCCCAAAGCAACGTGCTATTCACGACTGCATAAGGTGCACAAACTATCCGAAATATGCGTAGAAGTAATAAAAAGCAATAAAATTCAATAGAAGAAGTATAAAGCAATAGGATATTAGTGAAACATATGCGATTAATTGCAGAGAAAATGGCGGAATTTTCAGTGCCAAATTTGTCATAATTGTAGCTTAAAAATCAGTTCATATCGTGTTATGGACTTTTGCATTCTTGTAGCCATGCAGATGTTCAATCCATCCGTCCAAAAGTCAAGAATCAACAACTTTTTTCAAAGAATTCTAGTTTTTTGTTGCAATTCTGTTATATCTAGTATGGCGATTTAGCAAACGGCTAATGTATTAGGTTGATGCACAATTCCTGCACCAGAATTTTCAAAATTCCATTACTTTCTACAGTCAGATTTCTTTGTTGGCACATGCCGACGATTCAACTTGATCAAGAAAAATCCAAAAACTCTTTTTCAAACTGACCGCTATAGTTTCTAGATCTTCTATTGAAATATAAATTTATTTTTGGATTTAGTTTTGAGAACTGTTCTTTTTGACTAAGAAAAGCGAATAGTGATTAGATGTATCTATGAATAAATATGATTATTAACTTTCTCGTTCGAATTGATGATTTTTTTTCAAATTAATTTTCTAAAATTCATTATAAATTTCTACCTTTGATTTTTTGGTGCAGGAGTTTTGCATCAGATAATATGTAGAACGGTAT